GTCACGCGAGTGACGGGCGTGTGATGCGTACCTAGTCATGCTGACTTGACTAGGGTTTATGGCTAACCCCATGGTGGACTCCATGCGGGTGTGATTGTGATTGTTATTATATGTGTGATGCACGTTATATGATAATGCATGTTACTATTGCTGCATGTGATTGGAATCATCGTTCTAACACCGTTCTCGCTGAGAACGGGTTTACCGGGTTCAACCCAGGCTACTCACTAAGCAGTTGTGCTTAGCCCTCGTGGTTTTACATTTTTCAGATCACGAGGATTACGCCTAGTGCACGGACGACGGCCTGAGAGAAGCAGCATCATGTACGAGATTTTATTTTGAACTCCGGGACTTGTATTCCCGCATTTTGTACGGTTATGTTATGACTTTTCGGACATGTGTTGTTTTGCGATACTGATCGCTTGTATTTTCCGCTACTTACTCTGGTTTGTTTAAAAATATTTTTGGATTTCGTATTTTTGCTTCCGCATTATTATTTTATTTTATATCGTCCATGTGGCACAGCCCGTATACTGTACACGGGTTACGGGTGATACAGGCATGTCCCATTCCCGACATCCTGCAACTTTACTCTCGGCCCCCTAGCTCGAGACTATATGGCGTTGGAGACACCAATGATATGATCCGTCCCAAAGAGAGGGAAAGTCCGTAGAACTGTCCTATGATAAAATCGTTCCTTTCATTGACTGAGGCTTCCAGAGATTCAATCGGAATTTCTATGAGGAGGATTCCACTAGGGTGTGTCCTAGGGTTGCCTATTCTCTGACATACTCGTATGCTGCCCTGGACTTTCTAGCTCCACGACTGCTTGGGGATTGGTGGTGACGTCGTTCACCTTCGATTCGAAGAGGCAACTACGGTTTCGATTGCCCTTTGGGGAGAGAGAAAAGAAGATGACCCTATGATGATTATCGTATATACATATAATATAATATGTTTATATATGTTTATATATATGTAATACATATATATCTATAAATGAGTGTATATATAAATATATGTATGTGCGTAATTTTTTTTTAATTTTGCTGGCGTGTATTTATCTGTGCACGTGTGAGTGATACGAAACCGAAACATGTACAATTACGCCATTTTAATCATCTGTCGGACTGAAATCTTAGTAAAGCTTGTATATTTTTTTTGGTTTAAAAGTTTTTTTTTGGTTGAAGGTGCTTTGTATTACTCAAAAAATATGATTTACACGTGCCTTTAGGCGTTTACAAAAAAGACCAAAAGATCATAAATTTCTCATGTGCAAGTGGGCATTACTCTACTTCAAAAAGTTTTCAGCGATTTCTCGTCAAACAATACCAATATTCAAGCAGTCGGCAATTCAAATTGTGCTGATGTGTTACCTTCATGGAGAGTAGGTATCTCTCATGATTCTGTCAATTTTGCAACGGATCTCACTGATAGTCTTCCTTTTATTCTTGAAGATTCGGTTATTTCGTTCTTTCCATAATTCATAAACTGTCATCTGGGTATATAGTTTAGCCAACATTGGTTGTTCCCGGTCACGAGCCTTCGAAGGGTCTTTAATCCACTGCAGACAGTTTGCAAATCCATCAGGCGGTGAAGGTCAACAAAAACTTGCAATGAAAGACCATACTTCGCCACCAAAGCAACGTTTGAAAAACAAATTCTCGTGTGACTCCTCTTCCAAGCAGCATAAACTGCATGTTGTGTTTATCTGCATTCCCCATGATTGTAGGCGAAAGAAATTTATTTATTTATACGAAATATTTTTTGAAGAACAGATTTTTTTTTTTAATAAAACGGGTTTTCCGATTGTTGTGTGAACGTGACAGTGGAATCTGTCGGATCCGCGGATATATCCATTCTAGGGGTGTCCAATAGGGTTAACCAAATTTATTTGGTTATTGGAATTAACGGAAATGGATTTAGTTATCCAATTAATCTATTTATATCCAACTAATCTATTTATTTAATTGATTTATTAATTAATATATTTCAATTTGATTCATTTTAATTTTTTTCAATTGAGATTCTATTTTTACATAGAATTCCGTCGATTCGAATTCCATTCAAATTCGGTTATTATATATAATTGTGTTTGGTTCGTATATTCTATTCGTATTCGATTTTACATAAAATTTCATTTGATTCTAATTCTATTTTTACATAAAATTCCATACATATTTATTGGTAATATATGAATGGACAAATAACTATATTCGGTTTACTTGATTATGATTAATTCGTATTCGATTTATTCGATTTTAATTCAGATTTAATTATTTCGAATTTTGAAAATTTATAACCAAATGATTATTTAATTTTAATTAGTTCAATTTTAATATAAATCAATTGGTTCGATTTAATTTTCAAATAACCAAACTCTTTCGGAGAATTCAAAAAATCGAGACTAAAGATGAAATTTGTATCAAGAAAAAGGATAATAAAATTGTGTTTTCAAGGTTTTTTTTAGAGAAAATATATTCCAAAATTGTATATGTATATTAAGAAGAAATATCAGCACTTTAAAATTCTCACTAAATTATACTGTCGTGAATGATTCCTAGAGAATATTCCACGTGTTTCAATACAAAACGTGAGCGATCTTTCCCATAGACGGTCCAGATCGAGTGACGAAATCAACTGCTATAAAATAAGTAAGCACATCGTACGGTCCATATTGATTTATGAGATCAAAGGGTGTAAATTAACCCTAGATCTCATCACGACCGTACTGTGCCGAGTCGAGCGGTCCAGGCCCGGTCGGCGTAAACGCATCCCAGCAAAAAAAACCACTGGGGAAGCAAACGAGGTGTCGAAGAACACACAACTCTCTGAAGAATATGGTTCAATTTTGATTCTCCACGTACTGGGTTTTAGCGTTTTCCGTGGATTAAGTCATGGGTGATCGGGGAAGGAGGAGATCGAGCGGTGGCTCTGGTAAAAGCAGGACTACAAATCAGGGGAGGAGCTCGAGATCGAACGCTAAATCGGCTTCTTCATCGTCGAATCGTCGTCGCCGGAGTTCTTTGTTCGTCGAGGGAGGTATCCTCTCCGATTTCCGGCGAGATTCGACTCCGTTTTCGCCTTCTCGAGGTCTGCAAACAAAAGCTTGTTTCGTTTCTGGTTGTTTTGTATCTTTTTGTCTCCGAGGAAATGGGGTTGGACGCTGCTAGGTCTATAGTGTGATCATTAGTATGTTTCAGAAATTTCCGTTTTGTTCTGATCGATGGTATCAGTTTCTTCTGTTGGGTTTGTTTAGCTATGTCGGCTTTCATATGATTCCAGGAGGAAACTCTCAGAGAAAGGGCTCGAAACATGGAACTTCGGATCGTGCAAAAGCTTCTGCTTCAACAACAACTGGTCCTAGAAATTGCAATAGCAATGCTTTTGGGTATCAGTATCCTTCCATGGATGTTCAGGTATTTAGAAATGTCTCAGGCGTTTCCTGTTGTGTGTAGTGTTGGAGACATGTTGATGTAGGTGATGAATTATCCATTCCACTTGTGCGAATACTTGTCGGGTCAGTGTCTTTTTCCTGGTTTTTTGATTCAGAATTTCTCTCTTTTGATGTGTGAGGAGGGATTGGAGGGAGAATCGGGCAATGCAGGCAATTATAGCTGTGATAAGTTGGATGAATCAAATCCCATGGTTTTGGTTGAGTCGAAGGAGAACAAAATTGTCGCGTACCTGGACCGAGGACCGTCATCATCATCGAAAGATATTGATGTAAACTATGCTTATGAGTACAACACACCGGGTTTTGTATTGGGTGATGGCTCTCACAGAGGATTGGGATTTTGTGATGAGTCTGATGCTGGACAGAGTGGCACTGTTTCCACCTCAAAGCCGTCAGGAGACCAAGCAGGTTCAAGTTTTGCTTCTTTGCCCACGGAAGAGGTCGATGCTGAGGAGGAATCTGATGATGAGGTTAACCTTAGCGAAGATGAGGTGACACCTAATGTAGTCAAACCATCCAGGAGGAATTCGGGTTTCATCTCCATCGGAGGGATGAAATTGTACACTGAAGATATATCTGATGAAGAGAGTGATGGAGAAGAAGGGATACTCGATGGTGATGATGTGGCATCCGGAGATGAAGAAAGCACTGAATCTTCGGATCAGGGTGGACAGTCTGAATCATCGGCCACCGACAGCTCAAAGGACATGTTTGGTAGTGATTCAGACATTGTTGAAGATGTAGCAGAAGATTACTTGGAAGGAATTGGGGGCAGTGAGAAAGTTTTGGATGCCCGTTGGTTGGCTGAACAATCTTTGGATCAGTTAGATTTGTCAGATGATGAAAGTTCTTCAGAAGGTTCTTCTGATGAGAGTACAGAGAAATTGAGCGATATTGCCCTACAAAATGCATCGAGGGAATATGGTATGAAGGAATCGGCAAGAAGCCACTCCTCCAGGCACGGTAGGGATTCTCGTGCATTGCCTTTTGATGACCTTATGTTTGTAAAGGATCCGAGAAGTCTCTCTGGTAAGAAGACGAAGAAGATTCATTCAGCTACGTTTCCTCAATCTTGGCCTTCATATGCCCAAAAGAGCAAGAATTCCCGTAGATTTCCTGGTAAACATTAGATTGATGATCTCTCTCTCTCCTGTTTATTATATCATGTCTCTTTGTGACAAATATCTGTGGTTCTTACAATTTGTCAGGTGAGAAAAAGAAGCATCGCAAAGAAATGATTGCTGTGAAGCGTCGTGAGAGAATGCTGCAGCGTGGTGTTGATCTCGCCCAAATAAATTCCGTAAGAAATTAAGGATCTATGAATCTTTTGTTCTTTGTAATATTATCCTCTTGAAGAAAGTTTCTTGGTTTATATCCAATATTCAGATCTAATCTTGTTAATATTCTATTTTTTTTAAAACAAATCAGGTTAGTTGCATGAAAACTTAATGTTGGTAAAAACAATGCTGCTAAATGATTCTTCCCGTTTTTATATGCAATATATTAAATGTAGAAGCTCCATATCAACGAGCTTATTGTGGAGCTCGGGTTGCAAAACTCTGAACCATTTTGCAGTTCATTTCTCCTAAGCATATAGATATCTTGTTGTGGTTTGACTAACAGAAACTGGAGCAAATCGTTGCAGAAGGTGTTGATATGCACTGTTTCCAACGTATGCATCATCGGGACTGTTCTCAGGTATGTAATTTCGGTGACTACCCTCTTCATCTCGGCTTTTTTTTCATGTATACTGATGCCTTTTCCGTGACTATCCTTTTCTTTTAAAGTTAGTATGAAAAACCCAATAGCTACCATTTACTGAGCTATTTAGATACCTTAGGCTGGTGATTGTATTTGATGTACTCTTTGTTTTTTCCTAGGTACGCCGATTAGCAGACGTATACCGTTTATCTAGTAGCTGCAATGGTTCTGGAAAGAAAAGGTATTATTATTATGTAGTGTTGTGCTTGTCTTTATCTTACTTCCGGGAGCAACTTCTTTCTTTGCCTCTCACTTATACGCGATTCTTGGATGTGTTTGTGACTATTCATGATATCGGTTTTCCTAATGCAACTTTTTTTTTAAATCTCCAGCTTTGTCATGGTGACCCGTACATATCAGACATGCCTGCCATCTGCAAGCGATAAACTTCGTATCGAGAAGGTTTGGGCCCTCGGAAGTTATGTCGTTACAAGATTTGGATTAGAACTGATGAATCTGGTTTGTTGTATTTTTAGCTGATAGGAGCAGGGGACGACGATTTCGATTTTGCTGTCAACGTAGGAGGAGCAAATGCAAAATCAGCTTGTGGAAACGGGAAGAAAACGAAGGACTCGGGCAAGAAGCAAAACATCGGACAAAGCAGGAGGAAGATTCCGTTGGCTGATCAACCCGTGTCTTTCGTGTCGAGCGGTGTAATCAATTCTGAAACGGTTGGTACTGAAGCCTCTCGGGAAAAAGATCCAAAACAGGTGGTGGCTGAACCTTCAGGAGCGTCAAGTGCAGCGAATTTCGGAGCATTTGAGGTACACACTAAAGGATTTGGATCCAAAATGATGGCTAAGATGGGATACATAGAAGGAGCTGGTTTAGGAAAAGATGGTAAAGGACTGGCACAACCAATAGAAGTGGTTCAACGCCCAAAATCCCTAGGGTTAGGTCTAGATTTCTCCCCGAGCGTCGAAGAAAACCAACCGAGCTCATCAAGCGGTAGCGGTAGAAGGAAGGGGAATTCCTCAGGGAAGGATCCGAAACACGAAAAGGGGGTCTCGGGCTCATCGAGAAGCGGAGGAGGAGGAGGAGGAGGTAAAGGGTTTGGAGCTTTTGAGCAGCACACAAAAGGGTTTGGCTCTCGGATGATGGCGAAGATGGGTTTCGTCGAAGGGACGGGTTTGGGGCGAGACTCGCAAGGTATGACTAACCCGCTGTTTGCGGTTAGGCGCCCGAAAGCTCGAGGGTTGGGCGCGGAAGGTAAGGGTTCGAAGGTAAGTAACAAGAGCGGCAAGTGATAATAACGTATAATATGCAAGTGCTATCATATAGTTTATGAAGTAAATTATTATATCAAAATGCTACAAATACATGTTTTCACTTGTTAAGAGTAGCAAATCTGGGAAAAACCATGAAAGGGATATTGTCTATTTCTTGAGTAGAAAGTGACTTGCTTTCTTGTCTTCAATTTCAACGGCTCGTATATTCTCTATTCCTATTTGCTTTGCTTTTTCCTATCTCTTAACAGGTATTTTTTTTTACCTTGAGGTGGCAAATAGCTCCTAATTGAACCGGATCTAACCGAACCGAACTAAACCGATGGAAGAACTGCTTTGTTAACATTTTATTAAAATCGGCGGATGACAGTACCTGAGAGATTAACTTCATTTTGGAAATCAAAATAAAATTTTATTAAATCAGAGCCCTAGTGTCGATTTTATTATTTGATTTCATTTAGGAGTGAAATTATTCCATACGGATATCGTATCTTGTGTCGCATGCTCGGTGCGGCCGTGGAGTTACCGAGTTGTGTGGATCTCTCACGCCACGAGATGCCGGAAGCTCTTGAAATGTCGGGTTTCGGTTTTCGTTCCTTTTAGAAAATGATTTCTATGCAATTTTTTTTTACTGTTAGATTTATCTTTTGGATTTTTGTTTGGATTCGGGTTGAAATTCAATACAAAGATGTTTCATATTTTTAAGAAAAGTTCCTATCTTGTCCTATTGATATTTTTTTTTTAAGAAAAATTATATCTTTTCCATTTTTTCTTTTCATTCGATTTGAATTCGGATTTTATAGATGAAAATGTTTATTTTGTAAAAAAAAATTGTTATTTTTATTTCAGTTTTAAACAATAGTAAGAGTTTTATTTAACCGAATCGAAATTACAGCGTGGAGTTCCATCTCTAGAGTAGAAGCTCTTAACATTTGTTCCAGGAATAATAAATTTACATAACTTTTTGGACCTATATGGTTCACATAATAGACATGTTCTTAACAATATAGAAGAGAGTCAAAAGACCATTTATCCTTTTTTTTTCTTTCTTTTCTTTTTGTTTTTTAAAAAAAAATTGTGGCAGAATTTGTGGTGGCCGTTAAAATCCTAGTCAGCTGACACCTTCTCTGATCCTTGGTATACCAGAGCAGACGAGAAGCTTTCAGTTTCAGCAATGGCGTCTCTTTCTCTCACCTCTCTTCACCTCTCTTCGTCCTCTTCTCGTTCCACTCCCTCTCTCTCTCCTCCTCCTTTTCCCCTCCCGCAGCCGCCACTCTTTCGCCGCCACCGCTGCTACGATCGTCGCCTCTCCTCCTCCGTCAGCCGCCGTCGCTGTCTCCGAAGCTCTGAATCCATCATTGCCTCCAGTTCTCAGGTTTTCATCATCCTCTTCATTTGATCACTCGTATTAAGCCATTCTCGACTTTGGATTTGTACATACTCGACGGTGATTGATAGTGATCTCTGGCAACTATGTGAGGTTTAGCTACGAACGTGTAATTCGGAAAAAGGAAAAACAGTTCGACTCCTCGATGTCTGTATATGTGTATTGTGTTTATGGATGTGCTCATACAAAATGAATTTCTATTGGTGTTCTGAGCTATGAACAGTTTTCATAGTAGATTGGAGTCTGGAGGGAGTTTTATATCATGTGCTTGTTTTCTTCCATGTAGGGATTGCAGATTAGGTGTTCGACAGATGAACCATTGAAGGTGATGATTTCAGGTGCACCGGCATCAGGCAAAGGCACTCAGTGTGAGCTTATTGTTCAGAAGGTAATATTAGTATAGCAGCAGCAGATTCTCTATTTCTTGTTTTAATTCGTTACCGCTGATTGTTATATCTTGGAGGAACTGATATCTGGATTGTCCTGTTTTAATGGCACTGAACCTTGAGGCAATCAATGGATACACGGCGTTTGAGTAGTAAGAAAGGCTAATTGCTGAGCATGATCTGCGATATGCATTTTTACCCAAAAGTTGTAGAAGGTTTGCGTACTGGAACTTGTGGTGTTTGAGAGTGTTACAGTCCCTTAGGTGTGGATATTGCCAAAGGCGCTCTTTCCTTTAGCTTTGTGTTCATGTACATCTCGTTGATAGATACTAAACAAGACAATCTTGCTTAATTATAGGAAGCATTCAATGGTACTGAGCTCTTTATTCTATTACTTGTGGTAATCATGGAACATTGGTTGTTCTGGTATAAGCTTGCCTCATAAAGCTGTTGACATTTTCATGTTGATGATCTCGAGTCCCTAGGGTTTTGACTCTTGAAACCTTTTTTTCTGAGTCTCATACTGTATTGTCTAAGATCTTGCAAAAAAGAAAGATATGATTCGTGTTTCTTGAGAAATTGATTTTTGCCATTTGTGTGTATGAATGTGAAACATGCATGTCCGTCTTTCTTGGTCATTCAGTTTGGTCTGGTGCACATATCCACTGGAGATCTCTTGAGAGCAGAAGTTTCATCTGGGACTGATATTGGGAATCAAGCAAAAGGGTTTATGAATTCTGGTCGTCTGGTTCCGGACGAGATTGTGATTAAGGTATGTTTTAGCTTCCCTGCTTGAGTTGTTATTCTTCTCAATCGTTTTTACTTTTGAAATTAGGTGTTTTCTGTCCTTATAGATGGTGACTGCAAGATTATCACGTGAAGATGCTAGAGAGCGAGGATGGCTTCTTGATGGATTCCCACGGACTTTTGCCCAGGCACAGAGTCTAGAGAAACTTAACATCAGACCTGATATTTTCCTTTTACTAGATGTACGTAGATCATGTGCAACTTCTTCTTGCATACGACTTATTCTCGTTTGATTGATGAAAGGCAATAATAGCTCATGCTCATTGTTGTTGGTTATTTTCTTTAAATATATTTCTTTACATAGATGTCATTCTTACTATCAGGTTCCTGATGAAACTCTAATAGACAGATGTGTTGGTAGAAGATTGGACCCGGTAACTGGGAAGATTTATCATGTTAAAAGTTTCCCTCCTGAATCCGACGAAATCAAAGAAAGGTTGGTCACACGTCCCGATGATACTGAGGAGAAGGTATAACATCGGAGTTTGAACCTACCGTCGATCTTTGATTATCGTCACTTGAAAGCTCGTTTATTTATTATGATGAAGGTAAAATCACGGTTGCAAATATACAAACAAAATTGTGAAGCAACTGTATCTGCATACTCAAGAGTTATGACCAAGGTATTTGTGTTTTTTCTTTCGCGTATTTGGTTAATACATTTTTGCATTTCCTTATTTGAACTTTGCAGTTATGCATCACATGCTTGAAATACAGATGGACGGAAACATGCCAAAAGAAGTGGTTTTCAAAGAAATAGAGACTCTGCTATCTCAGGTGCAGACAGATAAAACAAAACTAAAGGGCAAGTAACTGCCACCTTTAGATAAATGTTATTTCCATGGGCGCCATTCTTGATAGTAATCATGGTAATTTTCATTTTAAATTTACTCTAGTCCTGGCTATCCTTTTGTCACTCATGCTATGTCAAACCTGACATGGAATCGGAGAGTAAAAAAGTGTTGCTTCATTAATTTATCTCTCTGCTTCCATGGAAAGAGCTGTTTTTGGTGTTATTGGTATTTAACTGATATGGTTCAAGCATTAGACAGTTAAATGAGTTCGGTTGTCCAAATCTCTTGACTAAATTACTCTGTATATATCAACATCAACATCGCTTTAATCCCATGTTTATTTGGGGTCAGTCGCATGAATTTTTTGTTTTCACTCATTTCGATATTGAATTACTCTATGTATAAAAAAATATATGGTCAATCACCATTGTAAGACTAAATTACTATTTTATATCTTGTTTAACTTTGATTTATGCCTTTCTATATGCAAACGAAGGTACTTATAGTACAGCCTGTGCAGATAAAACATCTCAGAGTCAGGGAGGAGTAAGCTACTTTTACTCCTACATTTCACTCATTCACATAAGCTAGTCACAAGTAATACAGACTAGTTCTTATTTATGTAATCTTTTTCAGGATAAATGGAGAGGAATACCAACAAGATTGAATAACATTCCTCACTCAAGAGAAATCAGGAATTATTTTTACAATGACGTGCTGCAAGCCACAACGAGATCTGTCAATGATGGAAGAGCTCGATTGAGGGTGAGGTTAATCTACACACTGTATTTGCTTAGTAACTTTCTCCTTTTTGTTCACAATTCCTTAAGCTGATTGGCTTTAGATATTTCATTACAAATGAACAGGTGGACATCAACATTCCCGAGTTAAATCCTGAAATGGTCAGTTCTCCTCTAACCTTAGTTGTTCTTTGGTCTCCGAAGCTTGAGTAAAGTTTATCTTAAACGTTCTGACTACTGTGATATGCAGGATGTTTATCGAATAGGAACTTTGATGGAACTCGTTCGAGTTCTGGCTTTGTCATTTGCTGATGACGGAAAAATAGTCAAGGTAGATGTGGTCCTTAAAGGCTAATGTTGTCACATAGAAATGACCTTGGATTTGCCTTGCTAATTCTGCTGTTCTGTCTGTCAGGTTTGCGTTCAGGGGTCGATGGGGGAAGGTGCACTCTCGGGGATGCCGCTGCAGTTGGCAGGAAGTCGTAAAATCTTGGAATTTATGGACTGGGGTGATGATGGAGCTTACGGAACTTTTGTCAAGATTGGTGCAATTGGTAAAATCTCCAAACTGAATGCTTCCTTAGATGCAATACTAGTGAAGAAACATTCTTGTTAACTTATAGATGGTTTTATTGGCTTCATAAATAGAGAATCTTTCACGAATTCAGTAGTAGAGGTTTGACAAGATCTGAAAGACCGGAAGGAAACTTCCACATGTCCTGAATTTCGCCAGGCTCATAAACAGGGCTATGATACATTCTTGTTGACAATTTTACCGATAATCATTCTACAGTCAAACTCTCTCTTTGCTTCCCAATATATATTTGTATCCATAGTTTTTACGGGTCTAGATTCCGTTTAACATATGTTTCTAATCGCTCTAATCAGGTGGTCAAGAAGTTGATGAGGAAGATGACATGTTCATCTTAGTGGCTCCACAGAATGCCTTTGGAAATTGTATAATTGATGTAAGGAGCTTCAAATGCTATCATCCGCGATGCTTCAATGTCGGTTTATGGTTTGAATGAGGTAACCTTATATATATATATGATCATATGTTAAATCCTCTTACAGGATCTGCAAGCGATGACTAATGCTGCTGGAAGAAGACCAGTTATACTCATCAATCCTCGTCTCAAGGTTGCACAACGGGTTTCCTTTCACGTTTTTTTAGAAATTCTCTCTGGCAACATTCTCTTGTATGGGTTGAGCCATTTTTTTAATTCTAACTCCCCCTTTCCTGCAGGACTTACCTGGTTCAAGCGGCATAATGCAAGTAAGTACGCGTTTCTGAAACATGGATAATCATTATAACATTGATAAGAATGCACATGGAGCTGAAGGTTTTTTCTTTTTCTTTTTCTTTTTCTTTTTTTTTTTGTGGTCCAGACAATGGGTCGGGAAGAGAGACTAGAATATGCGTCCTCCTTTGAAAACTGCTATATGTTCCGGCTTCTTTATTATGCCGGAACTCAGTATCCAATCATGGGAGCTTTAAGGTGTCCGATTCTCCTTTCCCTAAGAATATTCTGATTCTTTTTGTTATCACGGAAAAAAAACCCGCATCTATTACATGTTTCATTAAAATCTACTTCCTCTGAACGTTTCAGGATGCCTTACCCTAACCAGTATGAGTTGTACAAAAGGGTGGACGAGGAAAACGGGAAGGAAAAGTATGTATTGCTATCAACTTATACTGAAAGGCCCACTACTGATCAAATCAACGACGCCTTCTCCGGGAAAAAACCGACGTAAACGCTTCCCATCCACCGATCTTAACGCATTTCCATCACTTTCAGACAGTAATAACTAACATGATTTATCGAAACGCAGGGACCGAAGCAAGAAGCCGGCAGGAATTTGGTAACGGAAACTCCGCCGAATTCATAGGTGAAATCATGCATTTTTGTAGAATCGTTGATCAAACTGTATGTGTTTTGATGAGTTGCAGGGGGTTTCTGAGCAGTGTATTCTGAAGGGACCAAGCTGAAAGAGTAAATATATATTGGGAGGACAAGGGTTATCTCTTCACTTTGGGATGGATTGGTAAGTATCTTTGATATATATATATATATATCCTTGTAGCATCACGTTTCAAGCATCAAGGTTAGATCCACGTCACAGTTCAGTTCCTCAAGAAGCAAACAATCTTAAATGCAACATTTAGAGCCTATAGAGGAGTCGAACATCACAACGACCTTGGAGGGAAATATCTTCAATGAAAGAAACAATGTTCAATGTTGAAGTCTTTGTAGCATTCAAGGCCAAGATGCTTATCACATTTATTAACATGAATCAAGTCGCTTTAGGCAAATATTATACGCGTCAATTTCATTTACTACAATATATGGTCGGTTTTGATTTAGATTGGTGTGACTATGAGAGTCGGATTTCTTTCTCTAATAACTAATAATCAGATTTACAGTTATCTACTACGGATATCTTGACATTTGAAAAAATACCCGCAATATCCAAAAATCATATACTAAAATCTGCAAATTCGCATTTAGATTTTAAAAACTACAATCTAAAACATTCGAATTTGGATTTCAATATCCAAAATCCAAATTATTATATAATCCGATCCGTACCCATTTGCCTGTTGTAGTTGCCAAATCTCATAGAATTAAATTTCTGCTTTTTTTAAAATTCATTATTCGTACTATTTTCTATAAACATTTAAAAACTAATATTAAACAAGCTAAATATGTTTTCTAAAAGCACCCAGATCCAAAAAAATGGAAAAACAAAACATAGGGTTCTTGGCTAAGTGTGACAAAAAGAGACATGTTTAGAAATCTCTACCTTTTTTTTCTATCTTTTGAAAACTATATCTTTTTATAAATTTTTGACAAAACTACCCTTATTTTATTGTATAATTTCACTATTGCCATTTAGCATCCCGAAAAATGTGCAATATAAAAAGTAGATTTTTTTGGAAACTGTGTAATTCGGGATAACTGTTTTTTATCCGAGAGAGTCTGTTTTTATCCGGGAGAACTGTTTTTTGTCCGGTAGAGTTTGTTTTTTATCCGGGAGAGTTTGTTTTTTATCCGGGAGAATTGTTTTTCGTCCGGAAGAGTCTGTTTTTTATCAGGGAGAACTGTTTTTCGTCCGGAAGAGTCTGTTTTTTATCCGGGAGAATTTTTTTTTGTCCAGAAGAACTGTTTTTGTTCGGGAGAGTTTGTTTTTGTCCGGGAGAATCTTTTTTTGTCCGGGAGAACTGTTTTTTGTCCGGGATGGCTGTTTTTTGTCCGGAAAAATCTGTTTTTCGTTCGGAAAAGTTTGTTTTTTGTCCGGAGGAATTGTTTTTTTTTCGATAGAGTTGTTTTTCGTTCTGGTGTGTACGTTTTTTATCCGGATGAAAAATAGTTCTCACGTATAAAAAAAATTGTTTTTCATATAAAAAACATTTTTTCCCCGATGAAAACAATTCTCTCAAAAAAAATTATTCTCCCGGAGGAAAATAGACTTTTTCGGATAAAAAACAGTTCTTTCGGATAAAAAAAGTATTTTCCGAATGAAAAAACAATTCTTTCGGACGAGAAATAATTCTTTTTGATAAAAAAAATTATTTTTTCGTATACAAAAACAGTTAAACCAAATAAAAACAGATTCTCACAGATGGAAAATAATTATCCCGGATGAAAAAAACGGTTTTCCGAGATAACACAGTTTGTCAATAAAATATATTTTTTATGCTGTAACTTTTTTGAAATGTTTAATGGCAATATTGAAATTATACAATAAAATAAGGGTATTTTTGTCAAAAAATTATAAAAAGATATAGTTTGAAAAGGAAAGAAAAAAAGATATAGATTTCTAATGACGTGATATTTTTGGATACTGGTGGAAATTTTCTCAAAAACATATGAGTGAAACGATGTCGTTTCGCAGATAAACACGTCGTCGGAGATTATGGATGGGGCAAACTTCACAAATACCTCTTTTGAGCCACATCAATTTCTCATCTACCTTTTAAAAATGACGCAAATTTTTCTTTCTCAAAATACCCCACTTTTATGATAAATTACTTAAATGTCTTTATATATAAAAATACCAAAATATCCTCTCTATCTCAAATAAAAAACGTGCAAAAAGAATATATTAGATTAAAATAAAATAAAATTAATATATTATATTATTTTTTGAATTTTTTAGAAAAAGTGTACGGACGGTAACAAAAAGCGATATTTTTTTATTATACTACCAAACCATTTTGTATAACTTATATACGACATACGACTTTAATGCAACCATTGTACGATTATTTTAATTCAATTTTACGATATTTTAATTTTCTAAAAACGTAAAAAATTGTTAATTTTGATGAGATTTTGTCAAATGACCATGAATACCTTCAAAAATATAAAACTATTTGGACAAAAATTTAGTATTAAACATTTGTCATATTTTGTTAAGTATATATTGAAGTATAAATAAATATGTATGATACATTACTTCTTCTTTGAACAATAACTTGAGGTATTATAATTTTGAAATAAAAATTTTTGTATATCATATTTATGGGTTAATTCGAAGATATTTATCATCTCTCAACGAAATGTTATCAAAATTAATAATTTTTTTTTATATTTTTTTAAATTTAAAAGTCGTAATTACGTGGTAAATTAATCATATAATAATCGTATCATAGTAGTAAATAAGTTACAAAATATTTGTTTTATTGTATAATAAAATAAATACATGTACGACTTTAACGCGAACATTGTACAATTATCTTAATTCAATTTTACGACATTTCAATTTTGTAAAAGCTTAAAAAAAAATTGCTAATTTTGATGAGATTTCATCCAATGACGATGAACACTTTCAAAAACATAAAAATATTTGATCACAAATTCGGTATTAAATATTTGTCAGATTTTGTTAAGTTTGTGATGAAGTATAAATAAATGTATATGATATATCTACTTCTTCTTTAAACAATAACCTACGATATTATAATTTTGAAACAAAACGTTTTGTATATTATGTTTATGAATTAATTCAAATATATTTATCATATCTCAACGAAATGTTATCAAAATTAATGATTTTTTACATTTTTATAAAATTCAAAAGTAGTAATTATATGGTAAATTAATCGTACAATAGTCGTATCATAGTAATAAATAAGTTACAAAATATTTGTTTTGTTGTATAATAAAATAAATATTTTTTTATGGTTTATACATGTAAAAAAAAGATATAATTTATTTTTATTCTTTTATTTTTAAAGCTTATAATTTTTTTTGTCAAAGTGTATTTTTATATATTATTATGACATAAGATGTTCATTATCTTTTACGACTTTTTTTAACTAATTCAAAATGACTATTTTTCAAGTAATATTCAACCAATTGAATACTTCATTAAATTTTTCTTTCAATTTTTTATTTTTATCGATCTGAATTTGGTGGTTTAGATTTTAGTTAGAATCTTAGATTTTCAATGGTTTTTTTTTTGTATTTCAATAATTTTTCTTAATTTTAGTATTATCTCTTTTTTCTTTGTTTATATTTTTTTTGATGACTTTGAATTTAATAAATAAAATAAAATAAATTTAATCTTAAAAATAAACGAAATGAAATGATACAATTGTTTATTCGTGTGTGAGGTTGATACTCTCTATTTTATACCTTAATTTAATTAAGGGTAAACTCGACTTTAACTAAAACAAAAGGGGTAGATGAAAAATAGATGCCACTGGGTTATTTGTGAATGGGTTATTTGTGAAGTTTACCCCTATCGACGATCCATGAAATCAAAACCCTAATCTTAAACCCGTATTCGTCTGTGTCCAAACATCGGAAGGAGGAAGAGGAAGAAGGAGAGAGAACAAAAATGCCGCTCTACGACTGCATGCTTCTGTTCAAGCCCGTTGTTCGGAGGGAATCTCTCATGGATCTTGTTGCTCGCGTCGGGAGACACGTCTACAGCAGAAATGGCGTCCTCACCGAGATCAGATCCTTTGGAAAGGTCGAATTGGGTTATGGTATTAAGAAGCTTGACGGACGACACTACCAGGTATACCATCTTTGATCCGATTTGGATTCGTTTCTTCTTCAAATCGATAGTTTCGGGTTTAGTGTATAGGGTTTGGAGCTTAGGTTTCTGAATGTTTGAAGCAGCGTTCCTTTGGTGTTTATTCGCTCTAACGATAGGATGTATGCAGAATAATTTCTGGGCTTCCCCTGCTTAATTCGATCCTCTTTTGGTTAATCTGTTCAGATTATGCGTTGGAATTTTGTTTTGGATTGGAATCTACATTAAAGCGAATTGGAGTTTGGGATTCTTAGATGTTCTACATAGAGCTTCTTGTTGTACCTACGATAATCTCCTGTCTGTTCCCGATTTGCTTTCAACTGAATCACAATCTCTCAAATTCCTCTTGAAGCAGGCAACCTCATCTTAATATCTTATGGCGAAGTTCTGATTCATGTAATAAATCATGCAAATTAAGCTTTGAGATTCTGTTCCTCGGTTTTTCAGATCTTTTAAAAAGTCTAGTTTACTCTCAGTACTGTATTTCTGACGAGCATCTGCCGAGAAAGCACGTCTAGAACTTCTTCTCTGTTTAGATGGTTCATGAAAATTCTGATCAAGGTAATATGGGTGGATTTGATTGCTTGGGTTTGGGAAAATTTTTATCTTCTCCTTTTCAAAGAGATAGAGAGCCTTTCGTGTTTCCGAATAGATTGGTAGCGTTTTGTATCTGCAGTTTTGTGTCGATTTACTGCGAAAGACAAAAACAACATTAGCATTCTCATTCTTCTCTGTTATGATCGATGAGTTGGTGCAAAAACTTACAAACTTTGGCGTTCCTCTGCCAGTTCTTGTTCTTGGATATCCATTTACCTTGTTGATCTTTACTAGAACCTTCAAAGAACGTAACCGATGATGAAAATTGAGAAACTTGTAGTACATGTTACCTTGTTCGGTATATAATATATATGCATACACCTGCGTAGACCTTGTTTATCTGTAGATTTCGTTTGCAGGTTAATCTTTCGGCTAATTGAATTTTGACTAGCGTATAATCTGGGGATGGATATCGCAGGGGCAATTGATGCAGATAACGATGATGGCGACTCCAAACATAAACAAAGAGCTTCAATACCTCAACAAGGAAGACAGACTGTTGCGGTGGCTACTCGTTAAGAACCGCAATGTCCAAATCGGGCAGGGTCATGTGGCCGATGAAGATGGAATTGCCGATGCCAGAAAATATTCCGAAGACAGCATATTTGATCAAGAATCGGAGGAAGAGGAGAGCGAGGATGAGTACGAGGACGAGCAGGAGCAGGGGAATGAAGAGAGACTAAACTGAGTTAGGACACAAGTAGTTGCTTACTTCCTCATAATAATCACTGTGTGTGTTACTTTAGGTTCCATTCTGAGCATAGATCAGTTTGGTTCGGTTCGGTTTTCAAATAACCGAACTAATTGTCTACCCCTAAATACAATGGTTGGTAGTTCGGTTATGATTTTAAGATTTAGGATTTTGGGTTATCCGATTTCAATACTCGCATATTAAGCGAATATATAAGAAAAATCGATACAAAGAAACAAACTTCTTTTGTCCAAAAAAAAAAAGAGATACTCGAAAGCAACACAAATCCAAAACCAACACTAAAAAAAAAACATGTATGGAGTTATGACCGCAAAGAAAAATAAGGATAGAGAGACATAAGATGCAAACAACATAACAATAAAACTGTCGGCAACTGCAAAACGACATAACCGAACATCCATACATATACTATCATATGGTTTTATATAAATAGGATTTTTATAGTACGTATTTTTCATATTTGATCCGTATTCATATGTACTCAAATTATTATTTCACATTGGAAATTACAGCTCTTCTTCTGTTGCAAATAGATCAAAACACATACGATAATACGGTCAATGTACTATATATATTTATTATGCAAAAAAAGGTTGGAATAAATATAGTTTTGAGGGAAAAAAGCATTATATTAAATTAAATGTTCGTCGGACGACACCAATGGAAACGGGTGGACGATGTGACACGTGGCCATAACCCACCTGCTACATTCTCCAGAACACACACGGCCATAACGCGGAGAAATGGTATTTAATGCTTGTTCGAGATGCTGACGTGTACGTCCAGGATTGGTTCATCTTTCAACCTCACAGCGAACGAGAACACACTCTCTGGAATTACTATTCTTTGAAAAGTTTGAACACAGTCTGGCTGAAGAAAAAGAAAAAAAAAGAACAAACCCAAAAAAAAAAACCCAGAGCGTCTCCTTCTGTTTCCTACTGGTCTGATCATTGATCGAGCTCGCGTGCGGCTCCTCTCGTGGATTGGTCCAGAGAGGTGTTTTCGGGGGAGATGGCGTCGCCGGCGTCGAAGAAAGGTGGTGCCGATGGATCCGGGAAGAACTTTTCGGGGAATCTCGCAAGCAGTGGCGTTATTGGCGATCGGAATGATGTTGAAAGCAGCACCAGCAGCCACAGCTCCGGTGGCGGAGGAGGAGGAGAGGGAGGGGTGTTCGAGTATTTCGGTTGGGTTTATCATTTGGGTACGAATTCGATCGGGCATGAGTACTGCCATCTCCGGTTCCTGTTCATAAGAGGGAAATACGTGGAGATGTACAAGAGAGATCCTCACGAGAACCCCGGCATTGTATGGTTTTCTCCCCTCCTCTGTTTTGTTGTTTTCCTTGCTTGATTTTTGCTGTCGTCTCTTGAGTTTGCGGAGATTTATTGCGCCGGTGAAGTTCTGGGATTTATGAAATGGTAAGAGTGTGCGTATTGGACGATCCATTTGTTGATGGGTTTTTACGGATGCAGTGGAATTCGCAGGTCTTTTACCTGCATCAGGAAACAAGAAAGACTGCGTCATAGTTAAGAGTGAAAAGTTGTCCTGAGTAATTTTCTGCTTGTTGTGCTTGCTTCTCTTGAAAGTTTAAGGAAACACCTCATGTCTGCTTGATTATGCTTGTGATACATAGCGGGTAAGAGTGCAGTTGTCTGAACCGAGTAGCTAAGGAACATGACTAGAGTCCACAGGGTTTTCTATTAAGCTTGTTGTATGCTGTTTATGACTTTATGGAGTTGGAAGCTGGATGAAGCTCTAGGGGACTAGTGTGAGTGTTCAAGTTTCTCCAATTTCTAATCTGAATGCTCAGGAGATACTGTCTTCGACTTGCTGACGAGAGGGAGAGAAGGGTTCAGAGGAAAAAAGAAATAAAGCGGGATAGCGAGAAAACCTTACATTGGAATCATACTTCAGAGAAAGCAAGTTTATTCTGAGGACCCTTCATCATAGTGTTTCTGTAGCATCAAGAGATTTCTTAACTTGTGCAGGGGTGATCTAATTTTGTTTGAACAGATTTCCTACCTGCTTCATTGTGTTATGCTCTTTTCAGTTTCGGTTCTTTGTCCATGGAACAAAGCATACCAAGTAGCTTATGTTTTCTTTGCACTCGACGTTGCACCCGATACATTGATTTCATTGTTGCATGTCTGAAGAACTATATAATGTCTGTGATCAATGCTTTTGTTTGAAGAACTATAATATCTTTTCATTTTGTTCCCTTGAACTGAAGAACATGCCAACTAGATGGTGCATTTATTTTCTCTTCTACCCATTTTTGTCTGTCCAGAAACCTATTCGGAAGGGTGTCATAGGACCCCCAATGATGATAGAGGAGCTAGGACGCCGCAAAGTTAATCACGGGGTAATACTCTTAACTATTTTACTTTTATGGTTAACTATAGTCTATAACTATTATCGAAGACTTGTTTCTTATTTCCTAATTTTCTGCGTTTATAAGTTGTCTTACGTATTTAATAGCATGTTCTTAGTGAAGGCAAAAGGAAACAAAATAAAACAGATATAGTAATTAACTTCCTTGAAGGGCCGACCTCGCTCAACGGTAAAACCATTTACCGTGGGGTCTGAGGTCGTGGGTTCGAATAAGCCTCTCTACATAAATGTAGGGGTAAGGCTGCCTAGTATATTCCCTTCCCCAACGCCCCCACTAGATAGGGATATGAAGTGGGTTGGTTCTTTATCGTAATTAACTTCCTTTTCTTTTATTATCTGTAGGATGTCTATGTCATACGGTTCTATAACCGATTGGATGAGACAAAAAAAGGAGAAGTAAGTTGAAAATTTTTCTTTATGACATCTATGTATCTGCGAGCACATCTTGATATAGAAATTTTTATCTCCTTTCTTTGGGTATGTGAAATATGTTTTGTGCTGAATTCAGAGCTTGACTCAGTTAATCTCAAGTCCGACTTAGTTTTGTTTTCATTCCAAAGTGAAATTAATATTAGTATGTCAGTCTAAATCACTTCTGAGAAACATAACCTATATTATCATAGATCTAAGATCTATTTTCTATTGCGTACTTGGATGAATCAACAAGCCCATTTGTAGAATAAATATTGTCTTAGATTTTGTTAGTTAAATATTCAACTGCCCTGAAAAGTGCATTACATTGGGAGCTAGATTGTTTCTTTTAAGTATTTTTTTATTTATCCCGACATTTTCGTATTTTGAAAACTCCACTTCTAGATTGCCTGTGCCACAGCTGGAGAAGCCCGCAACTGGGCAGAGGCTTTTGACCATGCAAAACAGCAGGTATTGAGTCGGCCTAGCTAAAGTTGTATAGGAACTTCCTTGTCTGTTGAAGTTTTTCTTAGTTATGTAGCATCTAATGACTACACTTTTGGGAAAAAATTTAGCTTGTCATTGAACTATTTTATCTTTGTAATGTAATGGAGCTATGATTAGACTTTGGGCCAAAAGAATAAGTACAGGTGCTACTCTCTCGAAAAGCATAAGCGTTTTCTTTATATCATGTAACCCTTTTTTGCTTTTTGGAATTGAAATGTTCAACCAAAAGCTATGGAGCATTTGCTTAGTGATTATGATAGGGTGGTATCTCTGTCTCGTTTTTTTTCTTCTGATTAGCGCTTTTTTCTGTTTCTGAAGGCTGAATATGATCTGTCAAGAGGAGGAAGCACGAGAAAAAAATTAAACCTGGAAGCTGAGTATGACCTTATTTCCATCATAATCTCTTAGAAGTGGTTTCTGGATGATTCTTGTTAGTAGTTAAGGAGATCTTTTTTGGGGCTCCAAATACGGAGTTCTTGAAGAGATTGACTAGTTCCACATTGTAGATTGTTTGTTAGAATGGAACCTCTATGGGCTCATCGCATTCATAATTTCATATCATTTTGATACTGTAGATATGACCTGCCTTTCAATGTTGCAACCTGATCACTATTTATCTGATGGTAGTAGTGCAACATTTGTTACGATGCCAAACTGCCTGATTCACTTTATATATTTTTTCTTGTGAAAGCATCGATCTGGAAGGACGTCGGCCCAGAGTTAGACGCTATGCACATGGGTTAAAAAAGCTTATTAGAATTGGGCAAGGTAAGGTGCCATCGAACATCTATGACTATTGTTTTAGATGGATTTCCTCATGATTCTAACTTCTGATATTTTTAGTGCTTCAGCATGATCCTTTTGTCATGTGTTGGTGTGCAAAAATAGTCACTAAAAGGAGTGTTTCAATCCTGTCATGATGTTGTTTAAAATTTTCTCATGTAGAAACTCCATCAATCGACAATCATACAGAGGAGATAGGTTATAAGTTGGCATAACATTCATCTCTTAGAGTCTAGTGTAGTGTGTTCTAGTTATCTTTACTGGTTGAGAAAGGTTTCAGTGTAACCTTGGGCGGGGTGTGGAACGGGGGACTCCCATTGTTAAAATTGGAAAGTAAATTCTTGAAAATGTTCACATCATTTTTCTTTCTGTTCCCTTGTATTTCGATAGGGCATTTGGGGGTTTACCCACACTCGTGTTTTTGGCAAATTGCATTAGAGACTGATTTTTCTGAGGAAAATAGATGGTATTTACCAGGGATTCAAAGATATAGTTTCTTGCATTTGAGACCATAATAAAGTCTTGTGCTTGTGTTGTAACTCTGACTTATTGTGGATCAGTAGGTTTGCCTCCATGTAAAGCTTGTATCTCTATCCACTTCTGAAATCATAAATTTCTTAACACGTACCTGGTGTTTTTATCATGAACTCAGACAGTAGGTTATTCTGCAGATTCTTTCCCACTCAAAACAAAGAAGTCTGATTATGTTTTTGACCCTGACAGGTCCTGAAATACTTTTGAGACAATCCTCTAGCTTGGTTAACGATGGTCGGGCGGATGGTTTCTACGAAGGTGACAATGGCGATGCAATTGAGGCACATGAGTGGAAATGTGTCCGTACTATCAATGGTACGTTTGGGGATAGGTGTTGAATTGGGATTCAAGATGGACTGACAAATTACTAACTCTGAGCTTATTGATTTGCCCTTTCATCTAAAGAACCTGCAGTAAGTTCAGTTAAAGTGTTTATCTGTGGTGTCTCCTTTTGGATATAATACCTGATAAACAAGCCCAACTTTGGTGAACTTATAGTAACCAGAATGATAGGAAAATACTCAGTTTTAGTTAGAAGGATCTCAGTCATTGTTCATTGTTAATCAGTAATTCATATAGCATTACAAGGTTAGAACTTAATAGTCCTTCTGCCGCAAGGATTTCCGAACCATAAGGCCTAATCTCTAAGGTTGTTCTTGTTGTTTCCCTAATCTTTGATACATGACCTGACAGCATGAGTAAATATTTAGTTATATCCCCTTCTTCTTTGTATGCAGGCGTTAGGATTTTTGAAGATGTAGCTAACTACAAGGTATATTTTCTTTTATTCAGGTAGCATCTAATGTGTGTCACTTGTAGCATTCAATCTGGTTATGAATGCAGCCTTATTGGAATTCAGTTTCGTATATAACTTAGTTCCTTGGGCTCCAATCCTTATTTTATTAAAGGAAATTGTTGTATTTGGATATTGATTATGGGTTGATGTTTTATAAAACCATATGTAGTCTCCTGTTACATGCTAAGTCTCCTGTCATCATAACTGTTATCAGATCCATAATCCCATGTCAAACATATTATTAAGCCCTCTAGAATGTGCTGCTTGGATCGAGCCTTTGTGGATTTTATTATTAGAAGCATGGTGTGTTTGATGATCCCATATCAATCTAGTGCGGGATTGGTTTATGGCTTATAAAGTGATGTGTTCCTTCCCTTCCATATTGGTTTTTGAGAGTAAGATCTACCCCTTGGTTTGTGGGGATTGGCTTGGATTTAGTACGATATCATAAAGCTAGGTGTTTTAACTGGAGATCATTGAAGCTATCTTCGGATTTTTTGTTTCTTTTGGCATGCATGAAAGGCTTTAGGTTATATTCAGAGTGGAACGGTGAATCGATCACTTTATTGGCTGTTTTTGTTTGACTTTTGTGATTCCATGATAACCATCATGATAATTGTTTATAGCTAGCTAACAGTTCAAGTATAAATAATGTAACCAAGAGTTCTCAATTCTCTAGATTGATAAGGCATATATACGGATGATTATTTATGCCTTGGTTACAACCACTTTATTGTGCAACTGGCAGTCTACTAAGACCATAAGAATGTCAATTGTAAACCTTTCTCAAGCGCTTGAATGATGATTGTTTGTTTATTGTTAAAAAATGCTTATAGTCACCCTCAGCGTATCCTAAATAATTTTTCTTTTAGGCTGGTAGAGGAGTTCTTGTGAAAGCAGTTGCTGTAATTGAAGCAAGTGCAGATGCTGTGTTTGAAGTAACTTTGAAACTGGACAAGCATCAAAGATACGAGTAAGTGCATTTCCTCGAAACAATATTGTTTGCATTTATTAGTCTAATCTTTGTAATTATCCACACAGGTGGGATGCATTGACAGGTGATTTGGAACTGATAGACTCATACGATGGACACTATGATGTTGTTTACTGCACATATGATCCTAAATATCTTTCGCGGTATGTTGTCCGATTTGACTTCTGCTTTTCCTCAACGACAAATTGATCATTTGTAATTGTCTAGTAAATAGCAGTCATCTGCATTCTCCACAAACATTTTGTCCATCAGATGAAATGTCTTTGTCCCTTTTGGCAAGTTGTTAATTGTATCCATATATCACTGCACGCAAATTTGTGACCAAACATATGGATGGCATCACAATTTAGTTGTTTTTCTTTGTCATGTAATTGTGTCTTACTGCTTATACACTATATTTTGCAGATGGCAATCAAAAAGAGATTTTATTTTCTCCAGACAGTGGTTCCGTGGACAAGATGGAACCTACAGTAAGTAGAGATTACTCCAACTTTAAGGCTTTGTATAGACACAAAACTCAACTATGCAAACTGCAGTTACTAACTACTGTATAAAAAATACTGTATTCGGACTGTATAATATGGAGACTAAAATCCACAACAGTTCTTAGAGTAGATCTTCTGAAACAAAGAATCATATCTTACCCTGAATTATGTTTCTTGCTCAATGGGTCCTGAATCCTAACAGTGACACTGATTAATTAAATAATATGAGAAGCTTCCTTCTAAATTCTTAGCTGCACAGTTACTGATTTCTAAAATCTCTTTGTGGCAGTACACCACTTCCATCTAGAAAACGTTAATTCGCTTCTTTTTATTTTTGCTCTCTGATATATGTCATATGCTGGTCTAAATTGTTAATCGCATCAGTGACTTCGAGTCTGATGATGGAGATTTTCTGAAGCATTTATAGATGCCTCCAATTTCTTATTGTTCTTGTAAAAACAGCTTTTAGTTGTGAAATGGATCTATCTAGGTCTTTTATGGTGTATTTGTATGTGCAGCAATCTTACAATCTCCAGCTACGCACAAGAAACGGCCTCCAAGGTCTGGATACCGGCGCACTGAAATTACCCGTAAGACTTTTTCATTGGTATCACTATCTGTGTATATATATGTGTGTGTGTGTGTCTATGTAATGTTGCACATCTGATTTCACAAACATGAAGTAAAGAACAATTACCCCTTGTCGTCAAAGTCATTAAACAAAATTACCTGATTTCGATGTCAATGGTGCTTTTGAGTCAAATGTTTCATGGCCCTCTTGAGCATTTAGTTACTTGTTTATCTTATGTCATGACATATCTCTCTTTATGCAAAACCGTGGAAGTCTGTTAGACATGAGTTCTGCAGCTTACAACTTTAGATTTAATTGTCTGTGAAATTAAATTCTTATGCTATGACCAAACCCATGAATCTAGAACTGGAGCAGGGGTTCTTATCTATAGGTAATCGTTACGGCTTTGAGAAAAATTCTCCATGATCCCCAGATTTGGCCTATCTACCCCATGAAGTCATGCAATGCCAGATGCTGTGCTAGTGTGTAGTTCTAGCATCCTTTACACGTCTTTTGTTCCTTTTCATGTTCATTCAATCTCGTGTGTACCATACTTTCTGCTATTGTTTTCCATTGATTCAATAATATGGCATTCTAATTTTGTATTGCAACTTTTGTATTCACTTAGTTTCCTTGGTTATCAGTTGGTCTCACGTTGCCTCAATATTGCTCTCCATTTTTGTGATAATTCTAACCTTTTGCTGGATTGCAGCATCCACCTGGGAAATCAGAAGCTTGAACACGTCTACAGATACCGGCACTCCAAGATGTCTTGTAACCCAAATGCTAGAAATCCACTCTAAAGGTTGGTGCAAATGGAAGAAAAGTAGCTACTCGAAGTTTGAAAAGACTACCCCTTATGCATTACTCATCCAAGTCGCAGGTTTGTTTATCTTCTTCTATATTCTACTTTTTAGTTTTCAAACTGTGAATATGGAAAAATAGTTGGAAGAGGTGATCTGCATAAATGTTGTATCAGTATGTCATGCATGTTTGGACACGGGAATCTTTATTTGATGTCTGACAGCTTCTGGAACACATGAGCATATATATATTTGTGTGTTATCATCTTCAGTAGCAATCCATTTAGACACCTTTTCAGATATGTCTACAAAAATTTAAAAATATAATTATCAGAATTTCCTTGTTGTAACTAATGGACAATATACAGCTTTTACAACTAAACGTAAAAGCTTCAGTTTTGGGCATAAAATTTTATAGATTCAGTTGGCAAAGTATGATGCTTGACCTCTAATTGATCCTTTAAAGAGTCTCAAATTTGTGTAAAATATTTTGTAGCAGTTTTTGTTTCACAATCTGTTTTATGATATACCAGGTCTTAAGGAGTACATTGGAGCAAATCCAGCATTCAGGTATGAAACGTCTGCCACAGTTGTCCAGTCGAGGTTCTCAGATCTTTCCACTGGTGAATATGAAGATGAAGAAGTGGAGGATCATTTCTATGATGCGACCGACTCCTCCTCATCTGATGAAGAGGAAAGTGATGAGGATGATGACAAACGGAACAAAAAGGTAACCTGGTTTCAGCTTTCTTCTCATACAGTAAGATTTCATTTCCGTATATTCACTTTTGCTCAACTTTCCTGGTAAAAAATATTTAACATGCGTCCATGAGTGGTGTAACTCGTTTGCAAAGTCATTATAATAACCGAGGATTCTGTTGATTCGATGTTACCAGGAGATAAAAGTGAAACTGAAGAATATATCCTGGGCAATTGCGAGCTTATCTTTGAAGCGGCCTAAAGGTTCTGTATCGGATTTTTTCCTAGTCCATTTAGATAATTCATTCTGAAGTTACTTACCGGTCCTTTGGATGCTTTTAAAAAACAAATTTTATATGCATGACAATGGTAGTATATATATTAGTTGAAAATGATACAGGTTATACAACTGCTGCACATGCCTCTGTTTTGGTAACAGGTCCAGATTTGAATTTCGTGTTTAGAGGAATATGTCAAAAGTTTAGAATTAGATAATTTATGCTTCTTTTTACCAAATTTGAGTGGTGCTGTAATGACATCATCTCCATTCTGATATTAGCTCCAAGCGCAAGAAACGAATTGGCTGCTAGTTTTGATCCTGTGGCCATTGATTTAAGTCAGTTCCAAGGATCCTTGCGCAAAGAAAAAGACGATAAGGATTCAAACTGCTGGTGTTCTCCTAGCGGCATGGGGTTTATGATCAGAGGAAGGACTTACTTAAAAGATAATGCGAAGGTAAGATTTCGCTCCTTCTAAAGGAAAAATAAACAATCTTAAGCATTTCCTTCTTCTTCAATTTTGCTCTATGGTCAAACATAAATTTCCTCGAGATTGTATTGATAAGAATGAAGTGTCTGCTTCCCCTGCGATATCACTGCCCTTTGTGTCATCGACAAACCTTCCAAGTTTCTGTTTTTGTTCTTGTCTTATATTGCTGCTTTTTAGTTTCTCTATCTCTATAGTTTAATTCCCTAAACTTAGGATAATTACTGCATGGGTTTGACAGAATTCTGATTCCGAACTGCATTGTCCCCGAATCTAATGATCCAATGATGTGCTTTAATAAGGGCTACCTTCTTGTAGAACTGCTTATATATGTCTTTTTGATTATATAATTTCAGGTGATGGGTGGGGAGCCTCTTCTCAAACTTATTGCAGTGGATTGGTTAAAAGTTGACAAAGCCGTAGATAACATTGCTCTTCTTCCCAATTGTCTTGTTCAGGTGCTCCCTTTACCTGCTTTATGTTTTGATGGCCTCTTCTTCTATAAGGAAACGAGTAATTCGTCTGAGAGTTCTCGGAAGCTAGATTTCTGTCTTCGAATAAGTATATGGTAACACTTCTTTAAACCATGATGTGTCCGATAATGATTAACTTTGTCAATTTTGCCTCCCGCATTGTGGACGAGGTTCGGGTACTCTCATATATCCTGGATATGACTATATTTGGAAAACAAGGAATGAAACAAACAATAATGATTTACTTTGTTGACACTGTTCGTTTTTGTTGGTCGGTTGCCTGATATGAACTTCTCTTGTAGTCAGAAGCTGGGAAAAAACTACCGTTCATCCTCGTCATGAATCTTCAGGTTCGGTTAATACACTACATAAGCT